GAGAAATTAAGAAAACAATCCCATTTACAGTTGCACCAAAACCAATAAGATATCTAGGAATAAACTTAACCAAAGAGATGAAAGACTTGTATTGTGAAAACTATAAGATACTAATGGAAGGAATTGAAGATGACACAAAGACATGGAAAAACATAGAAATTAATTAATTAATTAAAAATTGAAAAACATTCCATACTCATGGATTGGAAGAACAAATATCATTAAAATATCTGTACTACCCAAAGCAATCTACAGATTTAATGCATTCTCTATCAAAATACAATAACATTTTTCACAGAGCTAGAACAAACAATCCTAAAATTTGTATGGAAGCACAAAGACCTCGAATAGTCAAAGCAATTTTGAAAAGAAAAAAACAAAACTGGAGACATCACAATTCCAGATTTCAAGTTATATGACAAAGTGGTAGTAAATAGTATGGTACTGGCATAAAAATAGACACATAGATCGATGGAATAGAATAGAAAATCCAGAAATAAACCCACAATTATATGGTCAGTTAATCTTCGACAAAGGAGAAATGAATATACAATGGAAAAAATACATCTCTTCAACAAAGGGTGTTGGGAAAACTGGACAGCCACATGCAAAAGAGTGAAACTGGACCACTTTCTTTCACCATACACAAAAATAAATTCAAAATGGATTAGGGGCATCTGGCTGGCTCAGTCTGTAGAGTGTGCGACTCTTGATCTTGGGGTTGTAAGTTTGAGCCGCACGTTGGGTGATCTCTAAATAAATTGATCTCTAAATAAATAAATAAATAAAATAATTTTGGGGCGCCTGGGTGGCTCAGTTGGTTGGGCGACTGCCTTCGGCTCGGGTCATGATCCTGGAATCCCAGGATCGAGTCCCATATCGGGCTCCTTGCTCAGCAGGAAGTCTGCTTCTTCCTCTGACCCTCCCCCCTCATGTGCTCTCTCTCTCTCTCTCTCTCAAATAAATAAATAAAATTTAAAAAAAAATAATTTTTTTAAAAGAATCAAGAGTCACCTGCTCTACCAACTGAGCCAGCCAGGTGTCCCTTATGTACTCTTGCTATGTTAGTATATTTTTCTCCTTTTTCATTAAAATTCTACATGGACACAGATGAATGGACCAGAACAGAACGTTCAGAAATAGACACAAATAAATCGGGCATTTAATGTATAAGTGACACTTCAAATCAGTGTGGGAAAGATGGATTTTTTCCCCCTATCCTATAAATATACTCCCACATGGGCAAGGACAACTGGTTAGCCATCTGAAAAAAAAAATATGTTGCATTCCTATTATACAACTTATACCAAAATAAATTTCAGATAGACCAAAGATTTAAATGTAAAAATTGAAACCCTAGTGCTAGAAGGAAAGACACAATTTTAAATATTCTCTGAGTGGGGAAAACCTTTCCAAGTCATAAACCATTAAAGGAAGGACACTGAACTACATAAAAATAGAAAACGTCTGCATGCACAAAGGAAAAATCATAAAGTTAAAACATAGAAGCACTGGGTGTGGAGCCAGGAGACCTGGAAAGTCAGTATTTCAATTCAGCTGGCCCAGCTCTAAGTTGCTTCCATGTAAGACTTGGGGGAAAATATCCCCTGTTCTCTACGGGAGGGGCCCTCCTAGAGGGCTCCCTGGTCTGGCTCTTGGTGAGGCCTTTTCCCTACAGTGAGACTACCCCCTAAGGCACCATAGGCCAAAGTGTAATTAGGGGGTCCCCACCTGGGCACTTCATCTCCAAATAGCCTTCCCCAACCACCTGCTTCTGGTGTCCCCAAGTCCAGCTTAGAGAGTCATACTTTGGGTAGAGATACCTTAGCTAAGAAAATACAAAGTATCAGAGAACTAACGCATTGAGTCTGGTGGGTTGTTTGTGGGGCATGAGCATTTCGGCCAAGGGCAGGTGGACCATGTGTCATGGGTGTATGGGAAGTATGCTGGCCCAGGGGCATCGAGTTTGAGTAAGTCCCAGTTCCAGTGTTGACTTCCTGCCCAAACTTGGAGAAGTCAACCTTTCTTCTTGGGCCTCTTTTTTTCCCCCTCTGAACCAGGAAGTGGTGGGACTAAATGCTCAAGTTGGGTTCGCTCATTCGTTCATTCATTCTACAAATGTTTGTTACGTACCTGCCACATGCTGGGGGTGCTGCTGTAATTGCTTGAGATACAGCAATGAACAAAACAGACAAAAGGCTCTGCCCTTGTGGAACTTACATGTTAGTGGGAGGATACCATCAACAAACAAGAAATATAATCATTAAATTATATAATATTTGAGAGGCATAAGTGCCTTAGGAAAACAAAAGCAGAGTAAGGGATATTCAGGGTGTGTGTGGGTGTTGGGATTTAAAATGAGGGTACAGGGGCTCCTGGGTGGCTCAGTCGTTAAGCGTCTGCCTTCGGCTCAGGTCATGATCCCAGGGTCCTGGGATCGAGCCC